ATACGAATGCACCTTTCGTGCCTGCAATCTCCAAAGTGGTGTACAATAACCAAACGAAAAATGCTTCGCCATCCCCTTCCCGAAACTGATTGCTTTTAGTTTGTTCATGTTCGTGTGTAACACGCCTCAACCAACGGAATCGATGGAAGTGAAGCACTTGCCTCTGAGTGACCGTAGTTAACAAAACTCTGCGCCTTACTTGACTGTCGTTTGTTCGGTGTCCCCACCAGCTTCGTGAACTGCAGCGTAGACAGCAGTGCTGGAACACCTACGATTTATTTTTATCCTGTTTCCGTAAAAGCCACGTCTCTGCACTGTGAAGCATTGCTGGTCGAACTGCCGCAGCCTATGCTCAACCAACCACAGACAGCCGGATGTTGCGACGGCACCGTTGGTGTCAGGTTGAAATATGTCAGTTGAGTTTCTGTGTGCGTGCCAACACTTCATTTAAGAACCAAGTTGGATATATCTGCGCAGATCACAGAATTGCTTACTTTCTCATTTGAGAGATGAACCAACTCAGTCCTATAGCAACCTTTTACACTGAAGGTACAGTATGCATGCCGAACATCGTTTCACTGGCACATGCTGTCAAGAAAAGCTTGTAGCGTATCTGGGTATCCGATTAGCAGTAAACTTGTCCGCATTCTCCAAATCATACATCCACCTACTTGGAACAGTATCCATACCGCTATCCTCGTAGGCAGACAGGGTTATTTCCAAAACCGAATCTATTACACAGATGAATAGAAACAGAGGGAGGGTAACCCTGAGGATCAACGAACCAGTGGTGAAATCGGGCGAGATTAGTTGAAGCTTAGATTCGGTTTCAGCTATTAGTGTAAAGAGATCGCAAAATTGAAATAAACTTTTCCGGCAAATCCTTTAGGGTAAGGTAGCACCAGAGTCGGCTGAGTCGAAGCGACTCTAAGATCGAAGACAATTTAAAAATCTGGGTCTACTTAAAGAAGGTTCGTGTTCTAGAATTTGGTGAAGAGCGAAAATGCAGTGGATACAGCCTTTGCTGGGACTGAAACCGGCCTGGTTTTCATGCGTGCGGCAAACAGTCGGCGGAGTATTATGCCAACCAGAAGTTCAGGTCCAATGTGGATCAAACCAATTCCTTTGTGGTTTTCTCAGAACGATCTATCACCTTCCTTGGAAATCGGTAAGATAATCGATTCACATCACTCAGTCGGAACCTGGGATTGAACTCCAAAACTAGGACTGAACATACATCCTTTAAAGCCGGTGGGGAGGTCTCATCTAGACCGTAAGCTTTATACTATTTGAGATAAGTTATTCCCCTGGTAACCTCCATTTCAGATAGAGGGCTAATAACCGACAGTAATTGCCCTGATGGTGTTATAGTAATAAATGAATAAATATTTACATTTTTGCTTATCGAGTATGCAAATGTACAATCGGTTTTCAAGAATGAGGCCGTGGCTACGCAAGGGCTTCCTGGGGAAATGTTTACTTAATTGAGAAAAAGGGCAGCATCGGTGGGGTTCGAATTCAGCACTTCCAAGTTGCTACTTTGATTATCTGAACCACTCAATTTTTGCCACCCTTGCAAAAGTTAGTTTCTCGTTAGTCGCGACGGCCTGCTAACCTCACTCCGTATAGTATGGCGCGTGCTGCCTTTACTGATGGTCAGTTTACCAACTACGGAAATGGAACATCGAGAAAACCAGCACAACCTGTAGTATGCATCAAAAGCAAGTTGATTTTACGCGATCTGCTCTGTTATGTATGTTTTTTTCTACCTTTTGGGAATAGAGAATTGATGGAAACTGTACGAGAACTGATACAACGTATTTTTTCAGTGGTTGACTTACTGTCACCGGCATGCTTTGGACCCTATGATCCGAGGTTCCAGTCCTGCCATCACCACCCGACTTTGGTGGTAAGGAGCTTCGCTATCGTTTCAATACCACGCCTAATCTGTCAGGGCCCTATGTATTTTGCCACTCCTAGGTTTAGGTTGACGGTTTCCATCACTTAACATAAGATCCTCGATTTCATGGGATCCACCCCATCTTCTGTTCATAACACAGATATGTGTTATGAAAGAAATACTGGTGGCTAGAATACTGGGATGAAAATATAGGTCCGAAACAAGAGAAGAGAGAATATCAATCCCTGAAAAATAAATGTAGCTACTAAATAACTACTGTTTTAGGTGTTTATCAAATACTCATTCAATCAGTGTGGGGTATAATTTGCTAAAGCCTAAATGCAAGCAAATACTACTGGACGGTATTCAAAACTGTCCCGGTTCAAAAGCTAGTTTCACATCACAATTAGTACGTCACCAAATTCCTCAACGTATTCCAGAATGAAAAAACCCCTTTGCAATCCGTAGTAACTATTATCAGACTGATGTTTTCCGGCTAAATGTGAACAAGTAGCGAACAGATGTAAATATACGGCAACAAATTACCAAGCCATTGAAAAAGTGCACATCCTATCCTCATTTTGCACTTTCTGATCGTCGGTCATCGATCATCCCACAAAAGCGTTTAATGACATATGTCATATCCTGTTCGGTTGATCAGTCTTCGTATTTGTTTACCCATCGAATACTATGCAACCACTAGTCGATTTCTATATCAAAATAGTGCAACAACAATATCAAGCTGATGCGCTAGTTTTAGAGGTTAACAAAGCTATGCCCTTATAGTTTGATGACGCCCCTCACACTTTCGACTGCCGCAATCTTCGTTGCGCTCCTAGTATGGCGTGAAGATAGTGAGATTAGCCTAAAAAATCTTCCATCAAACTCTCCGCATATCACTTGTGCCCTGCGGTTACTAGCCATGGACTGGATATTTTCGCGATGTTTTACCTTGCGTCACTCTCCTGCTGAGTTCAACCGCAGCGCTTTCGTATGATATCATTTTATTATAGAATTCGTTTATTGCCACGGAACCGTTTCACGATCGCTTTCAACTTTTATCAAACAGTGTCGGGTTAGAATAAGCACATCAAATGCTGTCTCGAATAGCCTCTGCTGAAGAAGCCCTACCCATTGCCTTCTCATGGCGGTGTTTTTCCACCAAGGCGAGGGGACGAAAAGCCGACATCCGGGGCTATAACCGAGTTGTTGGACCTAGTGGAGTTGGCTGACGGCTTCCAAACGGTGTATGATCGATGAATTGAACACCGGTCCCTAATTGATGCCAGTTTTCACACCGCGCGCTACTTTTCGGGTCAGGCTTTGGTTGGCCGAATTCACTAAGAAAATTCGAATGCTTTGACCTGAGCAACCTAGCGGTATCGTGCCCTCGAACAAATCATGGATCTTGTTCTTTTCCTTATGAAGATTATTTTACAATGATTTGTTTGGCATACAGTCCGAACTCATGCGTGTATAGAAATAAAAATACATTAAAACAGTAATGGTGTTCATTCACCATTTGAACATGGTTGGTGAACCAATAGAACAACTTATATCACTTAAATATGTAGACTGTACCACACTCTTCAGTGGCTAAGCTTAAGATGTGATCACTTTCTAAATCGGTGGTGTATAATAAGCATTGCTGTAACAAAAGCAGACATTAATTAGATCAATCTGCGAACAAAATTCCATGTATTTCATGCTGCTATTCTTTCCTGACCAGTAGTTGCGAAATTTTTCCTTTCATAAATGAAGATATAAAGCGGACGAAGTTGATGGATGGCTGGTGCCTACACCGATTATTGAAAGTCGTTTGGAGCAGCCAGCTCTCGAACAGTGAAGCCAGACTACGCTGATTAAACATTTAAGAGCTATCGGAACTACGGTTGCCAACCATTTAACAGTCTAAACAAGTATTCAGTTCCCTCTCTTCATCGGGACTGGAGCTGCCGTCTTGCCGGACCTTCTAGAGCATGGGTGGACAAACTGAAGTCGGACGTGTCTCAATTAGATCAATGCTCGTTTTACGGGATCAGTTGATGGAAACGCGATAGACCAATTTTGCTTCTAACCGCCGCGCATAGAAAGTGGCCATTCTAGGTATCCCAAATGCCGGCTTATCCTCTATCAGCAGAGAACAATAAAAGTAAAAAGCAAACTGGCAATGTACACACCTGTCTTGCCGGAGCAGATTGTAAATGAAAATGCTGCCAAATGGTTCATAAACAAAGCCCTAGATGTAAACTTTCCTGAACTTGAAGCTGAAGCTGCAAAGGTGGGACGGTTGAAAAACGTACTTCTAATGAACAACTTGTGGTGCACATACGTACGAATCTGCTCATATCTTGTCTAGTCAGATTATTTAGTTGACTTGACCAGGGTGGCTGGCCCCGTGGGCCAAGTTCGTGAACAACAATCTAACCGGATTAAACATCGCATCCTGACAACAGCGGAGGAATGAGAATTCGCATTTACAATCCCCTTGTGTGGACAAAAGCAATATTTGAAGTTGTTGTCTCCCAGCCCCCTCCATTGCTGGCTGCATCATGTTCTATTAAAAATGTTTGTTAGCGGTGGAGTGTTGGTGCTGATCAATGCGAATGTAGCCATCTCTCAATGAATTCTACGCTTATGAGCAGCTTTCCTGTCTAAATGCTAGTGGTTTGATCAGGGTGATAAAACTGGATTGATTACACAGAACAAACATTTTGGTGGAGTTCACACCTGGTGTGTTCATGCGAATGAGTGGAAAAGCCCTATACGCATTTTCAGTTTTGTAATAATCCAATTTCCACGAAGGTTGCAGAAACAGCAAGCTGCTAATCGTTGGAAGGGCGAAGAAGAATAACGAATAAGCTTTAAGAAACTCGCGCTAATCATGATAAACAACGGATTCCTATTTTTGACACATTTCAGCTATCGCTAGTGCCAGACTGCTGTTTTGTCTGGTCGTTGTGGAAAAGTGCTGTTAGGGAGAAAAAGTGTCGGAACTGTGCGAAATACAGTAAAACGTTTGTGGTTACATTCTGAATAGATCCATGTACTCTTTTTTCTCATAGCATTATTATACTTTGACCACATGTGTATATTTCAGGATATTTGTGCAATTTCGTGTGTAACGAGGTTGTGAAAGACGTCCTCGCCCTATTGGATCTCACTCAAACAGATTGCGAAGTGCTGGTGGATATGCTAACCGAATTGGAGCACACGGTAAGTATATTCTTTTGTAAGCTCCCTTATGCATTTGGGTTTCCAGTGAGTGATTTCCTATTGAACATTTGTACTAATTCTTTGCTTTTCGTTCAGCGAATTTTATAACCTTCGATATTTTACATAGGTCGTACAGTAAGGCGTTTGTCTCAGTGCGTTAAGGAGTACCACCCGCGATGATTCAGTCGAAAGGAAAACCGGCTGTATTTCAGTTACGATCGTAGGTCATCTCGTAGACACCAGGCACAATTTTGATCGGGAAAAGGCCTTCCGTGTTGGTAATCGGTTGAAGGCGGTCCATATTTTGGACACTAGTCATGGGTTAGGGAATCACTATTCGCCTACTATCCTAAAACCTGTGTACCCCAAAAGACTACTAATTGCTTGATCTATGTGAAGCGATGCACGAGCGCCACTGTCTGTAGCACTTCATCAAATCGCCTAGTTTATTTAATCATATTTTGGGCAGATACTCTCAAGCCCACCCCCGAGAACTAGCCGGATCTCGATTTCTTCCGCAGATCAGTGTGAGAATAACATAGTCTTGGTATCGTATTTTTATCAGTCCTATCCTACGGTTATTATTAGATCAAATTGTGAGCATCAGTTAGTGCTCATTTCAAATATAGTGAAAGAATGGACTCGGCTTGATGCGGATTATTATCCGCAAGTGAAAATTGTGCCAAAGTATAGACAAATTAGTCTCGAGTATTCGTGGAAAAGGAAACTAATATTTTTTGCTTGAATTAGTTGAATTCGCTGTGATTGGTATGAACAGAATTCAGTTGTGGACCACTAATTCAGAACTCAGTCATATTGGATATTCCATCAGAACGGTCATACACCAACCGAAATGTATGACCTTTTCACGAAATAGCTGTCGGGTTCAAACATCATTGCATTTGACCTGCAGAATTCTATTTAGACAAGTGGGCCCCGTCATCGCTACAGAGCCTAACTATTTTCATTTCATCTAAGCAACATCCGGGGTCACCTGTGTTTGCACTCGAGCTTGTTGTGTTGCTCGTGCGAGACGTAGACATAAACTATGATGTTATTCTCACGATCAGTCTGTTACTCCAGCTGACCCGAACACGAGTACCATTGCTTTTGACAGTGCGTCCGACACACGGCTGGCCAGTGGTTCTGAAGTATCTCAGACGAATGAACACGATATGTTAGCATAATCGCTACCACTATCAACATGTCTCACTGAACAACTAAGATAGATGAATGTGTAAACTCCATTCTCTAGTAACTCGCTTGTTTTGGCAATCGCGCCGTCAATGGACGTGTACCCGGCAAGAGTCCCAATCAACTTTCAAAGCCAACAAATTCCTTCGGCAGATTCGAATAGCGAACCCTCATTTGTTGAACAGTCACTAACACTGGTCTGTATCAGTGTGCCCGAAGGGCAGGATAAACCCTATATCTCCACCGTATCTATCGTGATGAATTACGTATTGCTTCATGTCACGAACTATATATATATATATATATATATATATATATATATATATA